TAATATCTAGGTCGATATAAACATATGATAACCTCTGCTCTTTTGTAAGGAAAAACCCCAAGGATTTTATCTCAATCAAAGATTACTTTAGAGAGTCTTTGATTGAGGCGATTTAGTTTATCTGTAGTAGATCACTTCTTCTTCTTTCCTTGTGCTGATTTAATCTTGTCCTTGTTTGATCATTATACTTCTTATCTTGTGGCTTGATTTATGGGTCTTCGTTTTTCATCGCTTCTTCTGCTTTTCTTGTGTTGATTTGATATCGTCCTTGTGTGATCAACAATCTTCTTATATTGTGGCTTGAATTGTGGTTCTTCCCATTTCTTGATGAGTTAATTGTGATTGCTGCCAAGAGTGTGAGATTCTTGCTTCTTTCCTCTATGTGCTGATTGACCATATTTTCCAATCATATATTTCTTTCTTTCTTTTGTCCCTTAGATTTGAGGCTTTCCTTTCCAATTCACCTCTGTATTTTAATGAAAAAAAATTTCCTTCTTGAAGTCATCTGTGCTGATGACTTCTCTTTTTAGATTTGTGACCTACGAAAATTGAGATCAACATGTTATGAGTCTATTTTCAAAATCAATGAACCATATGATGTTAACAATCTCTCCCTTTTTGATAAAGAAGCTTGATCACAATTTTAATAATAATATGGATAGTCAATTATACTGAGAGAGTTTAACTATACTTCCCTAAGGTTATATGTTGTTGATGTATGCAACTCCCCCTGTCTTAGCTCTCCATGTTTCAAAGAGAGGTATATAATTGTTTTCTCCCCCTTTGTCATAATAAAAAAGAATATCTACACAGCAGATTATATTAAAGTATAGACATTAGAAACTAGAGTAGTCTAAGAGTTAAGGAAAGGCAGTAGTCCAAAAGATAGAGAGGGACAAGCTCCTATTGAAAGATAGAGAAAAAGAAAGAGGTGTAACTACAAAAGTTAATGGCCACCCCAAAAGTACTTGAGGGAGTTGATCACATTTTCGTAAAAGGTGATGTACGAACATTTCACATTCTTGGAGAAGCTGGAGTAAGAGGTCTGAACTGTAAAGACAAGCTCATTGTTGGAGGAGTTGACTCCATTTTTAAGAGAGTCAACTTGCTTAATCAAGCGATTTAATGTTGAGATACCTTCCTGCTTTGTTGGAATTCTAAATTCTGACCCCCAAATTCACCTAAGGAACAAGTATATTTTATATGTTCCTTTGCAGATTACAATGTTACGTTTTTGAAGCAAATAAAATAATAACATAATATTTTATCACGAAAAACCCTAACTCATAAGGGTAAAAACCACGACCTACACCTCTGTAGGATTTAAATTCACTTTACTAAACTCCAAGTCTCAACACAAGATTGAAAACCAATGTAACCTAAGGAATTATAACTCTAATTCCTAGAGGAATTATAAACTCTAATTCCTAGAGGAATTATAAACTCTAATTCCTAGCTAAGAAATTATAAACTCTAATTCCTAGCTACCCAAGACAAAAAAAACCCAGGTTTAAGTCTTTTACGGTCCGTCAAGTTTCTCAAATTTGTTAGATGAATCCTACACATACACTCAATTGTAATCAAAACTCTTAATTACAATCTTACAACTTTTTCCTCACCAATTGCAACACTCACGATAAATATCAAAACTCTCTCAAATCCCTTGATCATGTTTTAATTTTCTCTCATGTAAGTGTGCAATTTTCTCCACCGAAACGATCGCTCTATTTATAGATTTGAAATTGAATCCAAAACCTATTTCAACTAGAAATCCTACTTATGCTCTACTAATTTTCTCTTGAAACTTAGAAGCTCATGCGTATGACTCCTACATTGTGCGGAAGTCATCTTGCCACATCTTCAACTTGGTTGCGAACTCCTCTATAAAAGGAAACTTTTTGTAATGGTTGCTTGTCAAAAAATCAATACTTTCACAGCTTTATATCTTCTAGTTTGCGAGGTTGAGGTTCTCATTATCCAAGTCGGATTCGGTCTATAAGGAACACGTCGCACAACCTGTTTCTTTCATCTGTTCCTCTATTTGTAAATTATAAAATCTTTCTCATTCTAACATGCTTGATTCCTATCATGGCAACGCACAACTTACCAATATCAGTGCTAGAGTCTTTTTGCAAGCGAAATACCTTCTCCGCAACATCATGAAGGGCTTTCCTATTGGCCTACGTGACACTATCTTGTGGTTCCAATGTGTGCTGATAATTTTTTGAAGCTGGTGCCACGTAGGTCGTAAAGGGCTAGAAAATTATTTATAAAATCAAATCAGGGGGATAATAGGGTAAAATCAAATCAGGGGGATAATAGGACTTTAGTTTAGTATAAGTTTGTTTCTGAGATTTCGGGCAAAGGTTGAGGGGTACTTATGCATTTTCCCTATAATTTATACAAAGTGTAAGCATATAATTTAATTTTTTAAAAATTATGAACATATATTTTCTAAATGGTTAAGGAAGAGGGTGGATATATTACTTTTTGGAAGTCCCACCGTTTAAAAAAAAAGTCTCTATTTTATTTTTAGTTTGTTTCAAAAAGAATGACCCATTTTGCTTTTTTGGCAACACTTTAACTTTAACTTTCCACGTGACATGTTTAATACCACAAGATTAAAGGGCATTTTGGTACATTTGACATAACTTTAATTTAGAATCACAAGATTACAAACTTTTCTTTCTTCTCTTAAACTCCGCTCCAAGTCAAACTAGGACATCCTTTTGGAAACGGAGAGAGTACTAATTAATGTGGGATTAATAGTACATAAATGAAAAAGAGAAAATTTAAACAGAATAACGATAAAACGAAAACAAGAGAAGAGATATTAATAACATCAATATATATATATATATATAGTGCTCTAACTCAAGGAAGATTCTTCTATGGGTGATTTAGGTAGTTAGAAACTTCATATAATAGAAACAATGCTCCATATACAATATGGTAAAAAAAATAAAATTTATGTTAATAGTAATATATACATATTTCTTCCTTAAATCTAATTTTGATCCGTAAGAAGATAGCCCGTATATTTATGAGCTTATTCTTTATGTAAATAATTATTGTTATCTTTTCACTTTATATTCACCGAAAACTATGTTGGGAACATGATTACAAGAAACTGTCTTTTACTAGATTACAAGACCCCTAAAACATAGAGACAAAAAAAAAAGCAATATACAAAAGAATCGAGAAAGTAAGCATGAAGGAATTTTGCAAGTTACTCTTATTTAGATTTTACTTCTTGAACATGCTAAATTGAGATGAATTTGGCCTACTGGAGTATTCACACAGAAAAACATTGAAGTTTTGATCTATTTAGATACCTAATAAAAAAGGAAAAATAAAGTATAGTGATAAAAGCATATGCGTAATAATGAGAGGCAATAAAAATTATAATTACATCACAAATATATTTTCGTTACAAGATATACCCATGCTCATATAAAATAAATAGAATTACAAATGAAGCAACAACACTACATCAAAAAATTATAAAAAGATCAGAGATACGAAAAAGTCACCTAACAAACTGATGTGGTGTAAAAAGGAATGACAAAACCAATTATGCACATCAATTTTTTTTAAAATCGTGTTATTCCAACCAAATGAAGGTTTTCATCAATTTTTTTCCTTCCTTCTAAATTATAATACTAAAAATGCTACATTCTTTTAAAATTGGCAGTATTGATATGAATTAATACAAATATATTGTTCCAATTTAAATAGGAAATTTCCTCGTTCTCGATTGATATGCTTATTTGCGTAAACAATAAAAGAGCAATCTATCCGTTATTTTTAAGAAAAAAATCCATAAAGAATCCAAGAAATGTAATGGATTTTTTAATTTACGTCAAGTACTTACATCACTCCAATAATTATATGTCACTTCAAATACTTAGTTATCAAAAAAGATTGCTAATTAATTATTTTTATCCTAAGTTAATATCTTATTAATGATATATCAGTTCAATTCGAGATAAATACAAAATGCTCTACTAACTAATATTAATTTAGTATATGCGTAATGTGTTTTGCAGACAAAAAATCTAATGATTATCAATCTTTCTTTCAGGGGTTAATAGAACCCCAAATTGTATAAAGTTACACTTTGTCGAGACTAACTTTGAACACCACATGTCCAAAGTTGTTTGAAATAGTACATATGCAAAACAACAATTCCTTGCCAATTGTAACATACATATGTATGTTTACTTAAACAACAAATAATATAGCCAAATAATGAACAAACTTGGGCTCTTTCTGTTTGAGCATATTCTCATAATGTATAAATGTACCAGTAGCAATATACCAAATCATTTTTATGACAATGGTGTCCCGAATAACTTGCTCTTTTCACATACTACTTGTTACCTTCAATTAATTAGCATAGGGTAACTTTGCGATCAAAGTTTTCAGGGATATTGAAATGTTTCAAGGGTCTTTTGCTTCTGATTGAGATTTTGATCTTCTGAAGTACCAGAGTTAGCTGAAAAATCAAGAAATTAACTTCATGAAAACCATCGTCCAAAATTTGAAGGATTAAAAGAATCCTACATGACATTAGAAATAGAGTAGGGTATGAACTGCCACAATAGCAAATTAAGTACTAAACCAGACTTCCAGAAATACAAAAGATATAGACATATTCCATCATTAGAAAATATGATTGCACATCAAGCCCAACAAGAAGAATCACAAGCACAATAATGACAATATCTATCTGGATATATCAGACTAACAGATAGGCTCCGATAAATCTGAGTAGTATTGCTAAAGGAAGAGAAAAAATAACACGTACTGTTAGCTTCATCAACTTATATTTTAATGATGACACTATGCTAAATGATCTGCGCCAAAAATAAATGAGACATCCAAAATATGTGAAAAGAAGGCATGAATCAAGGAAGAATGACTTGTCTACGATAGATTTGAATGAAGGAAAAAGAGCACACGCTAACCACAAGAAAGAACAGGACAGCCGGACAAATTTGAATATCAGCGAGAAAATCCCTTGGGTTACATTAAGAGCAAAATACTGAAAATCAGAAAAGAAGATTGCGCAACTTCTCTTCTTCTCAGATCAATCTCAGTGACATTCCAGATCATAGATTAGTTGAAGATTAGCGAATTGGTATCAATTCCATTCTGTCCAAGCAACGGTAAAGAAGCAGCAAGCAATATAAAAGCAGATCATCATCACAGAAGTATTAAGCATTAGTTAATGTAATTATTAGTTACGGTAACTAATACTGTTTTAGACTCCCCTATTGTTTTGGAATTCAGGTAGTAGGTTAAGTTTAGCTGTAGGTTGTTTTTATCTGTAGTATATAAAGTTTGGGTACTGAATGAATAAGATTATCTTTCGACTACTTTGAAGCGCAATTTCCCTTGACCAAAAGCATAGTCACTCTTTTATCACTGTATTCAAAATAGTTTACTAGTGAAAAGAAAACTATAAGAGTAGAGGATGTGATCGACAAGTAAATTGGAATTTTTCTGGTCAAGGAGTTCAGAATAGGCCATCTATCTAATCATAAACACTCAAGCTCTAAGGAAACGCTTGTAACTCAAGGGGACTGGATTAGGCGTGATCCGAACTAGCATAGAATTCTTTGTCAACTGTGTCTTTTATGTCTTTATCGTTATTCAATATGTTGTTTTATCTAATCGTCTAAACTCTAGGGTAGCCGACTTGAAGAAATCAACAGTCAACCAATTATAACTTGACTAACATTCGAAAAGAATTATACTAATGTGGGGAGACAAATCATGGATGTGACATTCAATTCTATGCCTTACGGGCTAGGCAGAACTCTCTATGCCAGGAAATGTTATTAACGCAATTGACCAAAACACCACCCTACAAGAGATCCATGAGTGATCCGTTCCTTTCTCTTTAGGTTGATTACACCAAAGTTCCAAACTCTTTTTAAGTAAGCTATTCATTTCCTCTTTTGTACTTTTTACAAGGCTCTCCAATTTTATTTTCTTGTCATATTGCAGTTTAGTTGCAACAAGTGTTTTTGGCATTTGTGGACAATGGGAAGAACGGAAATCGACATAGATGTATATATTTGTATTATGAAATAGACAATGCTTAAAGCAAGATAACCACATTTGCACATACTGAAATATCTTGCTCAAATACATATATACAAACAAGACAATTACAAGACAGGGAAGTTACCAGTGCTATCCACACAACTTTCCTCTTTGAATGCATCTTGAATGCTGACTCCTTTCATAAGCTGATATGATAATTAAATTGGTCATTCTAGTAACTGTAAGCCTCAAAACTGGGGGAAAAAAGATAGCATCATAGGAAACAAAGTACCATTAATCAATTAGCGCTATACCTTTGCATTGATTGATTCAATACGATGCAACAATTCGTTTGCAATACTTTTTTGTGAGCCACGCAAAATGCGAATGCCAATATTCAAAATCTTCTCGATGTCAGCATAAGAAGCAATGGATGTGCAAATGTTTAAAAGCTTCAAAGCATATGGAACCAAATCCATCTTTGAATCACAGTATCGACAGAGATACTCTGCATCCAAATTGATGCTTCCTCCGACTCTCCCAGCCATGTAAGCTCGTAGAGCACACTCTAGATGGGAAACATGTCCACATATGTGGCTAGAAACTACTGTTGCTTCACAGCGAATGTAACTGTACCCATCATAGTCCAGACTGATAAGCTTGCTGCAAAGTATACAGCAACAGTCTCCGCAAAAACCAGACTCACTGCAACAGAGATCACAGAATCTGGTCTCCATAAGAGGATTTTCTGCTACTAAACTGCTACAGATTCGGTTACCAGCCTTACAAGTAATGGCTCTGAAGGAAGAATCAGACAGCAAAGGCTGCATTTTTGTCCCTGCAGATGTAGTCCTCTCTTTCATATCTGAGTCAAAATCAATATCATGTAAGTCTTCCATCCTCAATAAAGGAAAAAGATTCGGGATTCAAAGAAAAAGTATTATGCCAAGCAGATTCAACAACTTACAGATATGCAAAAAAGAAACATTTTCCCTATCTATATGGTGTTATATTTCAATTAAGCTCCGTCCCTGACAACATGCACAAACTGTGTAATCATGGACAAAATTCACTTTAAATATAAAAAGATAGAAATCAGTGTGGACTGACTAGATATTTGTAATGAATAGGACACCAAGCCTAAATCTCCATTTTCCTAAAAATCTGAATTCTTGAGAAAATTCACAAAGTTTGACTTCAAAATTAGGACTCAAATAGCCTCTAATGATGGGGTAATAAAATCTTGAAGTAAGCAGTGGGTAATAAAGACGAGAAGTTGAAACTCGTTACCCAATTGAAAAATCTCGAAAAGACCCTTCAAAATAGCCTCTACCAAGCTTCCAAAGTACAAAAATGGAGAAATGAGGATGAATGCCGATTTTTTTTTAAAAAAAATCTATCCAGGTCACTTTTACCCTTCGCGATTGCGAGCCCATACCTCTCAATTGCGATGAGTAATGCTGGATAACTCATTAGTTGACCATGCGTCATTACACAAGACCACACGATCATGATGCTCAAGATGCTATTGGGATTGCAACATCCTCCATGCGATCATGAAGCACAAGACCACATACTAATGCGACCGAGACCCAGAGCCTCATGATGCAAAGAATACTTAACGTGCATCATATACAACATAGCAGCAAACACCAAGACTCAACAAAATCACCTAATGAGCCCTCAAGATTCCTTCAAAATTTGCACATGCACAAACTAGATATGCTACCCAACCAAACTTAACGTTCCAGACTCAATGAACGTCGGGACACGTATACGAAGTCTCCTTGACCCAGTATTTGTTTAAGTAGCAATAAAATAACTTTTACTCAAAAAAACTAAATTTCCCCCGAACCTCTGAAAATTCAAACAAGCCTTCATGTAGGACTCAAAATTAAATCTAATGGTGTCGTCGAAATTCCAATTCGAGCGCTCAAACTCCAAATGTTGACTTAAGTCTACTCTTGGCCTAATTATACTTAAACTTCCACTTCAAGATCTCAAATCCACGAAAGGGTCTCCATATTTGAAAACAACTAAACTTCTAGACCAAAATATGCATTCCAGAGCTGATGGGACAGACTAAAGTTCCTTCCGTGACTCATAGCTCTGATTATTGCCAAAACCTACTTTGAACAACTTGAGGTCTCCAAAACTCTAAAACTTCCAAAAGTCTCAACTTCCCATTCCGATTTTAAAACCAACATTATAAACTGAAAACCATGACTTGGGACAACTATCGAGAGGGGCAAAATGATAAATTTTCTAGAAGTTTTTTGAAAATGTCCTTCAAGGTCGTCATTTCAAGAGGTTGTGATGATTCAGACACGTGCAAGGAAGATGTACAAATGATTTACTGCAGAAGTGTGAGAGGTTGGCTATGAATGGTTTCAAGAGAGGCAGGTTAGGTCAATGAAAAATTAGGGAGACAAGATTAGACATGATATATCGTAACTATATTTTACCAAGGACACGACCTTAGGTAGGCATTATGGAGGTCGCAAATTAGGGTAGAAGGGATTATGGAGGTCGCAAATTAGGGTCGTAGTATTATCCTTATAGTTTCTTCTCTTTGAGTTTGGTAACTTTTTTTCGAATTGGTAACAATGTATACTTCAACATTAAGGATTTGGTGGGTACCTTTAGAAAATCACAAAAGAACAAAAAGTGTAGTACTTACAAGAATCCTAAGAACTATAGAAGTTGATATGAATCCTCTTATCTTATATCTTTACACCAAAAATATAGATGTTAATTATGTTATGAATTTTTCCCTTGTTTATTTTAGGAAACTATAATTCCTATTGGCTTAGAAGACCATTTGTCCTAATAGATTTGGAAAAAGAAAATATTACTTTTATAGGATTAGAAAATAGGTTGGGGCGTTTACTCTGGATCTATTGGGGATATAGATATGGATCCTATAACATGGTATATGATAACACAATGTAGGCTAAGAGAGTCTTAAATATTGTAAGCTTCGCTTTTCTTTCATAGTAGAAAACTCTCTCTGTAGTCCTAATTGAACTTTATTAAAATCCTTTTATTATTCTCTTCTCTACTTTTTTTTTGTTTGTGATTGTGTGCTAGTTAATCCACGATAATTCTGCGTCAATAGATATACAATGCAGCTCCATTTAAACTTGTGAATGAAGTTGGATAGATATTAAAAATTCCTACTATTTATCTCCTTCAACCTTTGAGTTTGGTTATTCTTCATTTCTTTTTGTAGTTCAATAATTGTTTTACCTTGTTTTCTTACTTATATTCAGGTTGATTTGTAAGATTGTCTATAGTATCTTGCTATAAGTTTTTACTATGTTATTTCTTTCTCTATACTGCTTATGACTGTTTTTTATCTGGAGCTGAGGGTTTATCATAAATATTCTCTCTACCTAGATAGTAATAAGGTCAACGTTCACTTTACCCTCTTCAAATCTCAATTTGTTGGATTACATTGGCTATTTTTCTGTTGTGGATAATTAAACATTATAAAACAGGTAATTAATGTTAAATTATTCACAACCATTCCAAATACTTTCAGTACGAACAACACATTTGTGTTTACACTTCTATATATTTTGATTCCTATAATACATAATTCGACGACCAAAAATGGATATCAATGACTTCCCTAATAATTTCTAAAGTGAGCAACCTCAAATCTTGACAAAAATATATATATACTACCTGTAGGTAGAGTCATTGGATAATGATCTACATCCATTGTTCTCTTTAGTAATTAACGGATATTCAATATACTTCTCAAAGAGTATTAGAAATGTTAAATACTCTCATTAAATATGAAAACATAACAAAGTTTACTCCTAGCAGCATTATAAAAATTTTCACATTTTGTTTGGTAAATTGCAAGTACTTGTAACTGGTATGATAACATTCACGTTTGACAGAAAAGGAAAAAAATAAAATACTAGGTAAAGATTAGATCCATGGTCAAAGATACAAATGTAAAGGCCAAGGGGGAGAGAGAGGTGATTTAGAATCGGTCCTTACACATAACTCGATAAACATTAAATTTATTTGGAAGTTTAGTATACACAATGAGCCATGTGGTTATTACTATTTCTTAAAGTTGATGCAAACAACTAAATAAATCTCTACATGATATATAGTGAAGAGCCTTGTTGAAGCTAACCTTTAGAGCTTGGCGAATGCTTTGAAGGAATCATCCAACTGAATGAGGCAAAAAATTGATCGATATCCATACCAGGATACTCAGATTGGAGATATTTTTTAACTGAAGTCTTACTTCGGAAGGCATTTTTCTTTCCATCTTTCGGTGCCTGAAAACGCTCCGGAAGATACAAATATCTATCTTTGAAGGTGCCTGAGTTTGTAGCTCTTCTACCTGTCCTCCAACCCCACTTATCACCAACATTTGGCCAATCCATAGGAGCATATGGTAAACCTTCACCATATTCATACTCAGAAACTGGATACAGTTGAAGCCCAGTTTCATTGATTGTAGATGCACTCTCATCATATACAACAAATGCAAGACTCTCCCCAACCTCCTCCTTGACTGACATTTAGTTGGAAATCTCTAACTCTGTTGATACCAATGAAAGTCTGAAATCATAGAAAAACAAAAAAGAAAAGAAATGTCAAAGTCTAGACCAGAAAGCAAACTGTTTTTGGCTATAAAAACTATACTTCATATGAAAATAAATGTAAGAAATACAAGTATTGGCAACCTGACCAGCAGAATGCTTGTATAGTGCAACATTCTTGACATATACATTTGAATTTATACAGCACTTCATCGGTTTCCTCTCATTAATTCTATCTTTGGAATTTACTTTACCCCTAGTTTTAGATGAAAACAATCAGCTCAACTATATATTTAATTAAACTTACTATTTATAGGAGACAATTCCATTTAGAATGGGTAGTGATAGTTAGATCTTTTATTTAATGGCGGAACTAGTTTCTCACAATGTAGTCAATTGGACCTCCTTCAATGAAAAAATATACTGTGCAATTATGGCAGACCCAATCTTCCTAGTTATGTGTAAATTGTTGAATCCCCTTGACATAAGGAAAGATACTAGTGTAGTGGCTAATGGGTTCAAAATTTGTTTTAGACATTCAAATCTTAGGTGTACATTCTAGTATATTTACCTACTTGAAGAGTAAAAAACATTATTTTTTTAGAATTGAGGTCATGTATATCGATTAACAGAAAGCCCTGACTGAATTGGAGAACATACCTGAGAGATTAGGGATTTGACTAAACTGGTTCTCCTGCTAATCCCAGACAAACACGACAAACATAAAATTCAAAAGCAAAGGAAAAAGAAAAAATCAAAACCCTAAAACAGCCTTGTGAAATGGGAAGGTTGTACTAAGTTTTTCTTTAGTATTCAAAAAATTTTATACTCCCTTCATGTGTGAATTGGTACACACCTGTCACATTCCTCTAGTTTATATATTAAGTGAATTGTTAGGATATAACTCTCCTCTTAAACAAAAATATTTAAGAACAACATTAAAGACTCATTTTTTTATTAATATTCTTAAAGTATTCTATTAACAAAGGTAAAGTAGTTAATAACATTATTAAAAGAGAGGATAGATACGGAAACAAAAATCCTACTAACAATTATCTTGAACTTTGAAAATTTCACTTATTTTGAACTATAAAAAAAGTTTTGACAACTCACTTAATTTGGACTAAAGAGAATAAATCTTAATAGTTCAGTTGGTTGATTACCTGGACTTTTGTTTCATCTTGTAGGTGAAGGTCCAATTTATCGATAGCCGATTGATGGTAAAAAAGGACATCTATTTTTTAAAAAAAATAAAGTAATGGTCAAAGTCACACTGGCATTACCAATTAATTTTTTTCCTTTCTACATAAACTATCACCATATATGTATTATTATTATTATTACATAATAATAAAAAATAATCAAGTCCAAAAATTGTATCATATAAACAATTTTAAAAAAATATATATTCGATACCTCAAAGAAAAATATAGAAGAAGAAAGAAAGAAAAAGAGCAACATAATATTATATGCTACTGCACTTTCCATTTAAATATACTATACAAAATCCTCTCTTCAAAATAAAAACCATAAGCATATAACTTAAAGAAAATGCTCAATACCCCCTCAGCCTATGCCTGAAATCTCATAGACACACTTATACAATACTAAGTGATATTCAAGACAGGTGGGGTGAATTAAAAATTCACTTAGTCAGCTATCAGTAGTCGACAGTTGACTCACCTGCAAGTTAGTAAAATAATAAACAATAACAAAAGTTGTGGTAAATAGTTGACACACAAAATTTAACCTGGTTCGGATCACTAATGTGGTGCCTAGTACAGTCCCCTTGGGTTTCAAGGGTTTTCCTTAAGAGCGTTGAAGAGATATTCTTTGTTACACCAATGATTGAACTTTTAACATTTCTGATATGGAAATCAGATTTCTACCTTGACACTGTCTCAACTTGTATACCTGCACTCGGATGTTTTTCTTTTCTCTTTTCTTTCCAATTATATCACTCAAGTGTTTACAAATTTTTATGAAAGATAAAAGAAACCTATTTGCTAAGCTTAAGTAAAGTTGTGTTCTTCGCACTATACATCTAGGTCGATATAAATAGATGATAACCTCCACTCTTTGTAAGGAAAAAACCCAATGGATTTTATCTCAATCAAAGATTACTTTAGAGAGTCCTAGATTGAGGCGATTTAGTTTATCTGTAGTAGAATCACTTCTTCTGCTTTCCTTATGCTGATTTAATCTTGTCCTTGTGTGATCATCAGACTTCTTATCTTGTGGCTTGATTTATGGCTCTTTGTTTTTCATCGCTTCTTATGATTTTCTTGTGTTGATTTGATCTTGTCCTTGTGTGATCAGCAATCTTCTTATCTTGTGGCTTGTATTGTGGTTCTTCCTATTTCCTGATGAGTTAATTGTGATTGCTGCCAAGAGTGTGAGATTCTTGCTTCTTTCCTCTATGTGCTAATTGACCATATATTTCTTTTCCTCTTTTGTCCCTTAGATTTGAGGCTTTCCTTTCCAATGCACCTCTGCATTTTAATGAAATATTTTTTTTTCTTCTTGAAGTCATTTGTGCCGATGACTTCTCTTTTTAGATTTGTGACCTACGAAAATTGAGATCAACACGTTATGAGTCTATTTTCAAAATCAAGGAACCATATGCTGTTAACAATCTCCCCCTTTTTGATAATGACAAGTTTGGTCACAATTTTAATAATAATATGGATAGTCAATTATACTGAGAGAGTTTAACTATACTTCCCTAAGGTTATATGTTGTTGATGTATGCAGCTCCCCCTGTCTTAGCTCTCCATGTTACAAAGAGAGGTATATAATTGTTTTCTCCCCCTTTGTCAAAATCAAAAAGAATATCTAAACAGCAGATTATATTAAAGTATAGACATTAGAAACTAGAATAGTCTAAGAGTTAAGGAAAACAGTAGTCCAAAAAAAAGAGAGGGACAAGCCCCTATTGAAAGATAGAGCAAAATAAAGAGGTGCAAACACAAGAGTTAATGGCCAGCCCAAAAGTACTTGAGGGATTTAATCACATTTTCGTAAAAGGTGTTCTACGAACGTTTCACATTTTTTGAGAAACTGGAGTAAGAGGTCTAAACTATAACAACAAGCTCATTGTTGGAGAAGTTGACTCCACTTTTAAGAGAGTCAACTTGCTTAATCAAGCGATTGACTGTTGAGTTACCTTCCTGCTTGATTCTTGTCATGGTAATGCACAAATTACTAATATCAGTGCTAGAGTCTTTCTGCAAGCGAAATACCTTCTCCACAACATCATGAAGGGTTTCTTTTTTTTTGACATATGTTGTACTATCTTGTGGATTCAATGTGAGTTGACATTGTTTCAATCTAGTGTCACGTAGACCGAACAGGGGTAGAAAATTATTTATAAAATAATTTCAGGGGAATAATAGGGCCTTAGTATAGTATAAGTGTGTTTCTGGGATTTCGGGCAAAGGTTGAGGGGGTACTTCTGCATTTTCCCTTATTTTATCATTTCACACCCTTTCAATATTTGATAGTTATGTGGCTCCAAAATATGCAAATATTAGTCTCTTGAATGAAAAAAAATGGTATTTATAGCTTTTGGGGTAGAGTTGTTAGAATCAATCTCAGAAAGAGATCATATGGACTATGGTCGTCCTTCCCAAAAGGTTCTGTTGAATGCCTTGAATCGGACTTGTTACAGCGGAGTACATGGCCTTGACCAGAGGCTGCAAAAGAAGGGATTTGGCTGAAAGGGCTGGTTAGTGATCTTGGTCTGCATCATGATCAGGCTACGGTGTATTGTGACAGTTTGAGCGCAATTTGTCTAGCCAAGGATCAAGTCCATCATGAGAGAACCAAGCATATTGACGTGAGGTATCATTTTCTGAGAAGTGAGAAGAGAATCAAGGTGAAGAAAGTAGGAACTGCTGATAATCCTGCCTGATATGTTCACAAAGTCGGTTCCACAGAGCAAGTTTCAACAATGTTTGGACTTGCTCAACATCAGAAGCTGTTAATTGCCCTGCGGGGCAATTCTGAGGAAGAGGGGGAGGCCTGGCACTATCATAGTGTGCCTGAAGAATCTGTTTGGAGAATTCAAGTCAAGGTGGAGATTTGTTGAATGCCTTGAATCGGACCCGTTACAGCAGAAAGAACGGAGTCGGGGGGTCCAGGGGGCGTAGCTTAGCACTATATATAGACGCTATGGCAAACTCTATTCTGTATTCTGTTCTTGCCTCTCCATAATAAAACTGCTCCCCCTCTTCCCCGTGGACGTAGCCAATTTATTGGTGAACCACGTAAATCTATTGTCTTGTTTTTCGTGTTTATATTTTCTCGTATTATCTCGAATTCCGCATAACAGGTTCGTTACCCTTCGTACCTTATCTCAAGATCTAATTAGCACACCTACTGTAAAAATCTTATCTGCGTCCTCAGTAATGAAAAAGCTGTAAAACTTATTGTGCCCAAATCTTTGACAGAATAGATTTTTATATTAGTACTCACCTTGTTGGTTTCCTCATATTTGTCTCATTGTCATTTTCTGTTTAGATTCCCTCAAGTATTCGCTGGATTATTACTTCTTCTTGACATACCATGTACCATAACAAATGTTCACACAGTATTAATTTTTAAGAAGGATGTCTTGCCCGTGCCTTTTGGTATATGTTGATTAACATTCACTTAGTAGAAAGGGGTTGTTAAGCACAATTTCATTTCGAATAAGCAAGTATATGTGTTTCTCTCGGGTTGGAGATTATGGTTAGTGTTGTTAAGGTTCTAACAATGAGTATCTTAACTTCAACTCATAGTCCATTCTTTTTTTTGATCTTTTATTCTAAAATCTATGTTGTTATTTTCTTTATTCTCCACTCTTCTGAGATTTGCTCTTCTTGAGTTGTTGCTTCGATTTCCAGGTTAACTATTTCCTTCAAAATTCCACCAAATTTTGTTCTTCGGGTTTTAAAATGTGGCCTTACATCTGCTCTCCAGATATAGGTATCTTATTCATCATGTCGTTTGAGCTACATTTAGAGTTCTTAGTCAATTGGCTTAGTGGGAAAAGCTAACCTTTCGGATTCAATTAACCATAAATTTTGATATGTACTTTCTCCGTTCACATTTACTTGTCTACTTTTAATTTTACACGGTTCTAAAGAAACAATGATTAATTTATATCTATACTTGGATCTTAGAAAAATGATTTGGGGACAAAGTAATTAATGTTAATAGTAAACTAGATTTTTTTTGTCTTGGTCTCTTTTTGATATTTTAAAAGTAACAAGTATAATCGAAAATCTATTTTTTTAAAAAAGTAATGGACAAGTAAAAGTAAATGGAGGGAATATCAACAATAAATTTAACATCATTAATTAATTAATGCATAGTTTCTTCAAATCTGTGTCTGTACTCTGAAGCAAACTATTATAAGTTAGCTAAGAGATGGAACTACTAAATGAGAAGACCCGTTGAAATATATCCTGACTTTATTAAATTTTATTCTACACAAGTCACAGTCCTTGACATTATTTGTGTTGTCATGTAAATTGTCTCTGTCCAAT